ACTATGTATGTAAATTCTTAGTAGAGTCTTTAGCACATAATAAGCTTGCTATAAATGTTAATCATTATTTCCCTCTCTGGTTAAAAGTTTGGAGCTATAAAAGTTAGCATGAACATTCTAGAATATGAGACTGACTAAAAAAAAACAATTAAAAGTATATTTCTTCTTGGAGGTGGCTAAATAAATTGATAAATTCAAAAATATCCCTTAAGCAAATGTAATAAGATGAGCAGTCCTTGCTGCCCCACCAAGGCAGGACATGTTAACTCTGAACAATAACTGAAAATAACATACGACATAAAATTGAAACTTAAAAGAGAAAATGCAGATAGGTTCAATTACACCCCTGCTGTTTCTCCAACCATTATTATTATGTAGCTTAATCATGGAAAGATGTGGCATAAGCATAAGGTAAAAAGAGAGGTTGTTGGCATACATATTGCACCACAGTGCCCTGGATTTGGGACAGTATTTGTGGGGAGACTTGGGAGAGAAGAGCAAATCATCAGCACCTCTTCAAGTACTGCCATACCTGTTTGGCTTCAGAACTACAAAAGGAATTGAAAAAACAAATTCAAACAAAAACGTATGAGCTGTGGAGGCTGCACGACATATATTTTGCTTTCATTTATAATTAACACTAAATCCCTCGTGTAATTGATAAAGTTGTGAATTGAAAGTAAGATTTGTACATTTATCCTTTAGTTCATTGGCATATTTTAAAATAAAATTAATTTTAGATATAAGTTAATTATGTCTGATACCAGGAAAGAGATAAGAGGAAATTTGTAATTTCCTAGAATTAGTTACTTGATGTGATACATTCAAACCTGAATAAAAAGTGAAGTTCTTCCCTCAATCTTTCTTTTCCTGTGTCAAACAAATATACATCTAAAAGCTTTTGTATAACAACAAGCAAACTGGAGTTACTTTTTCAGACACAGCAAAACACTGTTTCTGTAAAAGGTTACTCACATGAATATAACGTTTCTTGGACTAATTACTTCTCCTCCAGAACAGCTAGGCTAAAACTTCCAGGTACCCCACCCCG